ACATCTTCAAAAATCATCATCAGGTTGGTATGCCGGACAGTTGGCCTTGGCGGCAAATCCTCTATCTGCAGCATGTGCAGTAGATGGTGAGAACAACTCCCTTTTTACAGTCACTCCTGCACTGAACAATTCCCCCACCCAAATACCATGCCCCCCCTCCCTGTTTCAATGGCAGCCGAAAAGCAAGCAGCAAAACAGAGGCTGACACATTCTTTGTATAGCAAGTGTCCCCATTCTTCTGCAATTTAGAAAGTGAACAATAAAATGTTGTATATCTGCATTTGCTTCTATGTGCGTGGTCTCTCTAGATAAATAGGAGCAAGTAGGTCTATAACGCTTTCTGTTACAACTACTTTATGGTATCTGTGACTATAAATAGATGCAGCAAAACCTCCAAGGTAGTGGGCATATAAGGGGAGACAAAGGCCAACCTGCCAACTGCATGTAGAGGGGTGATGGTGATATGAATATTATCCACGTATCATCTACCTCAAGATATTGGAATGTCCACCCATAGGGAGACTATATCACATTTTTTCCAGGAGCCCTTCTTGAACTGATTTTTTTGAGCAATGTACGGAAAAAGGACACACGGCTTGCAAAAGTGGACATTGATGAACTCACGACTTGTGGTAGATACCTTTCTTTCAGAATTACTTTGTCATTCAACAAGGCTTTATACAAAATGAAACAGCTCCCAACCCACATCCTATGCCTGCGTTCAGCTTACTTTGATGCTTTAAAAGGTACCGTAGAAGGTATGCGGTTTTTTTTTAAAAGCAATCACCTCTATCCGCTATTTCTGGCATAGCCAGAGACTTTTACAGATCTTAGCATATACAATTTAGAAAGAAATCAGATTTGCAGCAACGAAGACAACTGTTTTATTTTTCCTTAAATTCGTTTGAAGAAAAGCTTAGGTTGCTTTGGTTTTGAAATAAATTTTCCAAATAATAGTTCTCGTTTCAGAACTTATGTTGAAAATACATAGGGAAAATGCATTTTCTTTATCACGCTTGCTTGAAGGCTGTAAATTTGAAAGAAAGCTTTTTGTTTTGTTTGCCATAAGCGTTTCTCAGCTCCAAATATTGGTAATATTAACTTATGCACATAACAACAATTAACGTAGGAAAAATCCTAAAGCCTNTGGTGGCCAACCAGCCTCTCTGCACCCTGCTCGGAGTCGGAACCCTGTCCAGAGTCCTCCACATCCTCCAGAGCCGACTCATAGGGCCCCTCGCTATTGGAGTCTGATGGCAGCTCCAACGGCTCCTGCTGGGCCATAACACAAACTGATAAAGGTTCATGAAATATTAAAATGTGTTATATCTCACACTATTGAGATACATCAAAATTCCCTTGTTTGGGTTTACCTTTTGCTACAGAAAAAGCAGCTACAAGGAGCTTGCTTTTACTTTTAGTTCAAACCCGTCTGGAACCCAAGAGAAAGTGCCCCATTCTTATCTTTGGGAGGATGCTGTTTCACAAGGTGAGGGTTGCAGCAGTGTAGGAATGTTTCTTAAGTTCCACAAAACTGTAACATTTAATGAAGGGGACCTGGAGTACACTCACTCTGCTGGAAGATACTGGAAAGGCAGAAACAATTGGAGACAAGTAGTCTTCCATCTATCCATACCGTATGAACTATATGTTATATGAGGATATAGATCTAAGAAGATCCTATAAGTTGATTTTATTTGCCAATATAAGAGGAAGTATACCGAGCATAGAAGTGTACTGAATACAGAACAATAAGCTTAATGAGTCGTACCCTGAAAATATTCCTGAGAATAATTCACACAAGAATATAAAGCAAAATTGAGGAGCGTCTTAAGTATCACACAATTTGGTTTCAGAAACAATCTTGGTACATGAGATGCCCTATTCAGCATTCAAGTTCTTGTACAGTGTTGTAGAGATGTTAATCACAGTGTTTACATGTGCTTCATTGATTTTGAAAAAGTATTTCATGAAATAAGACACAGCAAAGTATTACAAATCCTGAAACAAGTGGGGCTACATGACAAAGACATCCAAATCATAATGAATCTATATTGGCATCAGGTAGCAAATGTGAGACTAGGCTGAAAATACGAAGAGGGATCAGACATGGCTGTATCCTGCTTCCACTTTTGTTTAATATCTACTCTGAGTCAATTTTCAATGAAGCACTGGAAAACATCGATGCTGGCCTAAAAGTAAACAGTGTTCAGATCAACAATCAACAATGCTGATGATACAGTTCTGCTTGCCAGTGAGTATGAGGACCTTTGGCTCCTCATTAGCAGCGTCACAGAAATATCTGAAAAATATGGCTTGAAGCTTAACACCTCAAAAACCAAGATCATGGTCGTCAGCAAACAACCCAATAATTTATCACTGATAAATTCGGAAGGAATACCACTAGAAAAAGTTGAAAGGATCACGTACCTCAGTTCTAATTTACATAAAAGCTGGTTGAGTGAGAAATTAGTATGTATATGAAAAGAGAGTGAGTGTGTCTCTGGAGCAACTTAGGCTACTTTATAAAGAATATTTTGTCATTCTAAACAAAAGGAGCTACATATCGATAGAGGAAAATATTTGTAGCTCAGGGTTGAAATGAAAGGTCCTTGGTACTCTCTGAAAAGGCTGTTTTCTTGCAGACATTTCATCACCCAAACTCAGTAACATCATCAGTGCTAGTAGGGAGTGGGGTTTGTTCTCAGTTTATATTCTAGTGGCTTACCCTGTCAGTATTGGTAGTGGTGGACTTGGTAGTTCTTTGGTTGGACTGTTTACTGTGAGCTTGATGGCAGTTCCTTGATTGGGGTATTGTTTGCATCTTAATTGTTGGTCTGATGTTAATTTTGGTGTCAATCTGTGCTCATGTTGATTGCTGGTGAGGTGTTTTGATCATTTTATTTCCTTCAGAGGTGGTATTCAGCAAGTTCTGACCAATTCTAGAGAACCTGTAGCGGAAATTTTGAGTAGTTTGGAGAACCAGTAAATACCACCTCTGACTGGCCCCGCCCCAATCTATTCTCTTCCTGCCGAGTCGCAGCTGATTGGGAGGGAAT